TGTTAGCTTGGTTCCTAAACAGTCATGAAGAGTCCTGCCAACAGTTACTTCATGTGTAGTGGCCTAATCCTTAAATGTTTCCCATATGATACAGTGGTGATTAAATTCTGCACATAGCATACATTACTATGATTAACAATTCTGGAAATAACTAGACACACCAAACTTAATCATATTTGAAAACTTAACATTAATCGCATCATTTTCCCATGTGAATACATGAAATAACCAGGCGGAGAAGTCATCAACAGGATTAGCAACATCAAAATCCATTTCATTTGTCACACATGGAAAACTAGTAAAGAATATGTCCATGATAAAAAGTTAGACTAATAACTAGGTTGCACTTTGTAATATTGGGTTGCACCAGTGCAAGTAACAAGGCACTAATTCGAGCCCTGATTCAACATAATAATATACTACCTGAGAGATGTTGTTTGACAGATACTTATCACTTATCATTACTAAATTTGAAGAAAAGACCTATAAACATTGTTATGCCAAGCAGCTGATCAGCACAAGCATGGTGATTGGTCAAAATCCCAGAAAATAACCACTCTAACATCCTGAACCTTATACAAACAATGTTCGTAAAATCTTTTTCAGAAATCTTTTCTAAATAATAAACATAAGTAAGAGAGTTGGGTATCATAGTATAGTTTGTGAGGAAATTCTGAGATGATACAGTTCGTCAACCTTTACCACTAAGGTGAATGACGAGCATTGACATGATGCTGAAACACCTACAAGACCTACATCATTAATGGTGATACGCAATGACACATTTCCTTCACATGCTTTACACAAAGGAACAAATACGTGGTGTCCGGCTGTGGTTGCTGAACTTCACATGAACTATGCACCATAACATAACCCTATGAATCAGCGTGATCCTTGCTCAATCAAAGTTCACACTCCTGTGAACATGACGAATATGATAAACTCCCCATGCTCCTATCACCTAAAGTCACTTTTTGCATTCCACCACTGATGGTGGCATGATGGACCTCCTAGACCATTGCTGTACTGCATTTAAACACCCCAGTTGGCTCTCCACACAAAACACACAGGTCAGTTATTGCCTCTTTCTTGTTTCTTTATACAGATCAGCAAAATTGGTCTACGGAGAAAGTTTATTCAGTTCTAAGTTAGGATGATATCAGAAGGAATACAATCACTTGGACCAACAGGTTGTCACAATATTGGCAGGTAAATGGAATACAATCACTTGGACCAACAGGTTGTCACAATATTGGCAGGTATGTGAAATACAATCACTTGGACCAACAGGTTGTCACAATATTGGCAGGTAAATGGACTACAATCATTTGGACCAACAGGTTGTCACAATATTGGCAGGTACATGGACTACAATCATTTGGACCAACAGGTTGTCACAATATTGGCAGGTACAATAACACTTATACTTTCTGTAAACATTCAAAAACAACTAATATTCTTCATGATTTGCAAGTTCTGTGATTACTCTTGTTTAAAGCGAAGGCTATAAGTTTCCCCTGTTCATTTCATACATTGGAAAACAAAATGGATAACCCATGACCATTTATCTAAAGTTTCTAAATATTTGATGCACTGTTTGGGAGTAACACGTAACAGCTGACCCACCTTAGTTCCAGATAATTGTGCATGCCATTAATTATTGACATATTCAAAGAGCTATCCATTGCATGGTGTGGGTGTTGGTAGTTATCGTTCTGCAGCACACACAATCAGGACATTATCTTCCACAGTGTCAAAGCTGAATGTTATAAACAACAGTTCAATCACACATCCAGTCAATGTGGTCATAGCAACTGACTATTATCATATCATGTGACACTTTGACAAAACACTGCCTGTTGTCACTAACTATATCATATATACATGACTTAACAACAGACTGTTATGAGTTGTTATTCAATGTCAATAATTGTTTGAAATATGAACCTGAATATGAACAGCTCATTTGCCAAAATAACAGCAATGTAAATTTGCTCAGTCAGGGTAATCAAAACAAGAATTCAATATGACTTTGTGTCTCCTGAAAGGTTAGTTATTTTGAAAAAGGTTTCATCCACACATGCCACATAGTTTTCAGTTTCATAACAAATTACTTTTTAAACAGGAATTGATTCTACTGAGTTTGTGGTGAAACATGTTAATTGATATCAACCTAGCTGACTGACCTGCAAAGTGACAAAACTGATTACATTTAAAATTTTAATGTTATTGACTTAAACAATACTGAGCACTGTGAAAACTGTCTCCACTGTGAGCATTCAGCTAAACATAGTGCAATATGGTTACACGATATTACAGCACTCAGAGAGATCAGCTGTCCCTGGTTACAGTTGCATCAACAACATAACATGACCCACAGTAATTTAGTGTAAACTGCAGCTTTTTCCCTTCTGTGTCAGTTATTACGGTAATAGACAGTCTAACGGGAGAGGGTCATATATTTCTCTTGGAGTAAAGCCCAACCTATGTCAAAACTATTTTCATCTACTATCAGTTATTATGAAACATGCTGGCAGAAAAGACTGAAAGTCTTACAGAAAATACATGAAGAATCAAATTGAAGCCTATAGCTACACTGTGAGAGCTGCAGACAATAAATCTAGATTATGCTAAATAACATATTGAAATAATTGACATGACTAATAAATCAACAACATCTGACATGTTCAATAAAAGGCTTTCAAGCTCCTACCATCTTATTTATAGCATCAAGGCACTAGATACTTTTCAAGTCACACGTCCAATAATAAGTTCACAGCCTTGCCTCAAGTAGAATCAATGGTGACATTTCAAGGTTTTGAACATGACAGAGTAGACCTATATATATCGAACATGGTAAAGTATATATATATGAAGATTTTCAAGTGCTTTTTTGATATTGTAGGTTTGGGCTTCATAAAAGGATAACACACCACAGAAAATATCTATGATATATTCAAAGGGGTTAAAAATGTCTATATAACTTGTAAGCCTAACCACACCAACAAATTAAGCAATGGCCAAAGTAGGGAGCCAATGACAATGTCTAAAATACATTAGATGACTATCATAATCTACACATGGTTTCAAGCCTTTGATATGACTATTAATATGTTAACATTAAGTTAATATGCCTCCTGAGTCATCCCCACCCCCACCCCCTCTACTTCTCTCACCCCCTCACCAGGCAATGACTTGAGCACATTTACAAAATATCTCACCTCTTATGTTGAACACAGCTAAACATAATCAACACTAAATAAGGATTCATGCCCGAAAAAAGTAAGTCTCTGACCTGAAATCACTTTTATGAGGTAAATCAATCTTTCAACTACACAAGGCAGTTCAGGTCTATTCCAAGTTAGTTTGAAAGAAAATTTAAACTTCTTGATGCACACCCACTGAGCATAACACAATCTGTGGTGTCACAAGCTCATGAACAACACAATCTTAGTAAAAGTGGAATGGCAATTGCAAGAGTGTGTTTTTAGGGTGAAATATCTAACCAGCCATCCTTAATAGACAATGTAATAGGTGTACAAGAACAATGCCAGATGCATAAGCCTTTTTCACAACCCAAGAATGTGTTCAGAGTTCTCATATTACTTTATTTTGGGACTTCACTTCCAACTTTTTACAACTACAGCTGCATGGTAACTGGAAGATGGCTTTCAATTTTAGGGTTCTATTTTGGAACATTGTTATGTTCATGCTGCTCCTTTTGCTACCAGCACATACCTGGTGGGACTTTGACAAGCTTTCAAACTATCAGCAAGTATCATATACATATAACATATGATAATATACTCATATGCTGATAGCAGGGTCAATAATTAACTTTTTGTAAAAGAGCATTATTTATATCTTAAATTATTGTTACCTCTTTTTTTTGTTATAAACAATCCCAACAGGCCAAATGGATAATTAAAATACTTACTCACTCAATATTTTTTACCCAATCATAAAATACTTTTCTTTTTAGCTGTGAGTAGCACCCTGCAACTTTCTACAATTACCGGTAACATAACACTTTCAGCATATGTAACAGTCAGTGTGCATGAAGAACATTAAGATTTCTATCTATAAAATACAAACCAGTTTATCAACAATTTTTACTTGCTTAAATGCTATTCTATGTAATGTTTAGTGTACTTGCCACCATTCACTTTATAATCATGCTAAAGATATTCTCTTTCTATTGCTTATATGTCTCAATGTCACAGTCATCAATAAATGAATAATCATGATGACAGGGAGCAGCATAACTATGAAAACAGCCGAAATTGTTTTCTGCTCAACACAGACATGTAAACTGTCAAACAAATGCCATATTGTTTCAATAACTATTCATAGCAAGACAAGGAACCCATAACGGACTCTGGTCGACTGCCTTTAAAGAAGCAATGGTAGTATGATCTTGGATGAAAAGAAAATTTCCAACATAATACCCAAATTACCAAAGAAAACAGTTCGTTTGATAAATTATTTAAAAAACACTTTTGTATGTGACATGCCATCTGATACAGCATCAGTGTTAGAAAGGAATTCATCACTATTGGTGAAATGGTGTCGTATCACCTGCTGGCTACATGTGGAATACAGGCGTGGCATCGATATAAATTGTGGAACATTCCAACCAAAATGTGTTACTTTGTTTTTCAGCCTTGCGCGACGGAAGGGGGTGTGGTTTGTTAATGTTTACATTCAGCATGCGCGGGAGGTGACATTTCTATGTCAAATATTACATAACAATTGTTCGCGAAGTATATTTCAGATCTTTGGATGCACATTATCAACACAACATTCATATGAACAAAGCTAGAGAAAACAACAAAATAAACGCGATGCATATGTGATCAAATTTATCATCAACATAGGATGAGTATTTTTCTGCAGAGGCGGTGTCGAGTAAACATTTGCACATCAATTCACTGTTCCGAAGATACAGTTTGCGTAAATAATGCGTTTAGCGCGGAAATTATAGTAATTAGTTATCCTACCTGGGTCACAAGAGGCACGAGGGTCTGTTCTACAGATTTTGTTCGTATTTCCAGAGATATGCGTGAATCTGTCTTCTGCAGCATGGCCGCCATCTTGCTCACCGGCAAGATACTGTTACGGTACGACTAGCTACAAGCTAGCCGTTAGGCTATAGAGTTGACGCTACCGTCCGCAGACTTCACCATTGATCGGATGCGGCTCATGCAGCTATGCTTTGTCGCGTTTTATTGATGCACCGTCTAGACTTCACATGCACTGAATTAATCAGTCGTTAAAAGTCAACCCGGCCCAAATCACATTTTCAGTGGGTGACGTCACATCGGGCACATGTTGAGTACATAAATCTGATGTCATAATGACTATGACGTCACAGTGAACAATTACTTATATTGTATATGGGCATTATTACCATATTAGTTTCCATTCCAAAGTCCATTGCGTTCTCATATTACTTTATACTCCTTTATATATAAGCTGCATACATTCTTGGGAAAAAACTAGTCATTTGCTTTCATGTCCATCACCTGCCCCATATCTCCAGCCCTTCATGAAACTGTAAAGGTTTGAACTCAGTGTCTAATATAAATGAAACATGTCTTACATTGGAACTGGTCCATTTAAATAAAATGTTGATCGGTTGGTCAGGCTACGAGACCATACAAGACTGTGTCTCGTCGTAACTCGATGGCGTGGGAATTGGTGTACAGATTTGCAAGGATCAGATTTAGTTATATAAGGTACTTCTGCGGCACAAAACAACAAACGTTTCTAACTTTTTCAGAGACAACGTATCGTCACCTGAGAAACAGAGTGTTCTATCTACACTTTTTGTAAAAAAATGAGTTACGGTTTTCTGGGTATTTCTCATGGTGTATTCTATCTCCAAATAAAATTGTGTAGCTGTATCTAGCTTAGAAAGTGTTCTTCAGACAATAAACATCAGTTCTATCTCTAAAAAAATTAAAAAGGTTTTCAGTTCCATATTGTTCTATCAGTGGCGGATCCAGGGGAGGTCCGAACACCACTCCAACAGACACACACACACACACACACACACACACACACACACACACACACACACACACACACACACACACACACTAGACTTTTTATGAGTGGCTTGATCTCATGCATAAGATAAACTCATTCAAGAACATGTTTGATGTTCATGGTTTAGGTACATCAATTTGTGTCTGATGTGTTTAGTGAGTTCATCCTGTACTCAACGGTAAAGTCTTTTAAACCTGTTCCAGGTTTTGAAACCTTTAAGAGATTGTTTAATGTTGATTCATAGACTTTATTTAGTGATATGCTCTTATAATATACACATGGCTACACCCAATTAAACAATAGGATGATAATCAGCACGTCCAGTCTGAATTATACGTCACAATCTTAGTTTGATTCTCAATATCAATATTTTAACTTTTCTGTACAAGTTCATGTCCATAATTGTTTGACTTTTGCCAAATTTTCCCCGTTCACCGAGCTGTTATATATTCCCATATGTTTAAAGGAAATCACCGTAAAATATCAATGACCAGCATACTTTTGGCTTGAAACAGTAAAATTACATGTCGGTTTCAAGCCTATGTGCTCATGCATGAAATTCAGAAAAATTACATTACTCAAAGTGTTGTTTTGAAGAGAAAGGTAATTTCCTAATTATTTGTCTTATTTCTGGTGTGTGTTTTTTTCAAATAAGGAAATTAAAAACATTCAGCTATATACGTACATTTTTGGAGCTATTTTAGTATTTTATGGATGTAGAACACTTTGGAACTGAACAAATCAGCGTTTGCTTTTAGATATTTGTTCTCTATCCAAACACTTTTGGATTATTACTAGGTTAAATCTAAATTTTGCATCATTAAAACATGGTTCTCCAGTTTCAGAATAACAACATGCACCTACATGCATAATTACAAATAGTTTCCTTTGGAAATATTCATTTTACACACACTTCAATCTTTGGGGCTCCGTATGTCGAAACCAAGTTTTGGTGAGATAGAATACTCCTTAGAACCGTAGAACGAACACGCACGCACGCACGCACGCACAACGAGTAAATATAATAAAGTTCAGCCATGATATTGAAACGAAACGCGGTATGTGTTCCTTGGTTCATAGAAGAGAAGTATGCGCCAAAGAACAAGCTGTGTACATCGACATTTTCACGGCTTTAAGTAGGTGCCACGAAACAGTTTCATATGTAAAATGTCAAGCAAACAAAACAGTACGTATTCTAACTGTTTATCCTCACCTCACTGCGGTGGATAATGAAGACGTGTATCCAGCTGGGCTGTAAGAACGACTTAACAGATGGGCGTGATAGCACTTCTGTCCTGCGTTATACATTCCTCGTAGAAAAGGGCTTCAAATGAGAAATGAAGCTGAATCTTTGCATTCAAAGCAGCATGACAAAATAACCATATTCCATTAAGAATTGAGTGCATATGCTATATCGTTAAAATATACGTATAGCAATACCGTATTTTACCATAGATAAGCCGATCTCATAGATGAGCCGAGGTCCGAACTTGACCTTAAACTGTATTAAAATAGTATGTTCCGATCTTAGGCCGAACCGGCAGCCCAATCATCTTCTCGTCGTGATCAGTCATCGGAAATATTACATGTGACAGCAGTGACATTACATGTGACAGCAGTGACATTACACGTGACAGTAGTGACATTACATGTGAATGCAGTGACATTACATGTGACAGTAGCGACATTACACGTGACAGTAGTGACATTACATGTGACAGTAGTAACATTACACGTAACAGTAGTGACATTACATGTGGCAGTAGTGACATAACATGTGGCAGTAGTGACATTACACGTGAAAGCAGTGACATTACATGTGACAGTAGTGACATTACACGTGACAGTAGTGACATTACATGTGACTAGTGACATTACACGTGACAGCAGTGACATTACATGTGACAGTAGTGACATTACATGTGGCAGTAGTGACATTACATGTGGCAGTAGTGACATTACATGTGACAGTAGTGACATTACACGTGACAGCAGTGACATTACATGTGACAGTAGTGACATTACACGTGACAGTAGTGACATTACATGTGACTAGTGACATAAGACGTGACAGCAGTGACATTACATGTGACAGCAGTGACATTACATGTGACAGTAGTGACATTACACGTGACAGTAGTGACATTACACGTGACAGTAGTGACATTACATGTGACAGCAGTGACATTACATGTGGCAGTAGTGACATTACACGTGACAGTAGTGACATTACATGTGACAGTAGTGACATTACATGTGTCAGTAGTGACATTACACGTGACAGTAGTGACATTACATGTGACAGTAGTGACATTACATGTGACAGCAGTGACATTACACGTGACAGTAGTGACATTACACGTGACAGTAGTGACATTACACGTGACAGTAGTGACATTACATGTGACAGTAGTGACATTACATGTGACAGCAGTGACATTACATGTGACAGTAGTGACATTACAGTAGTGACATTACATGTGACAGTAGTGACATTACACGTGACAGTAGTGACATTACATGTGACAGTAGTGACATTACATGTGACATTACATGTGACAGTAGTGACATTACATGTGACAGCAGTGACATTACATGTGACAGTAGTGACATTACATGTGACAGTAGTGACATTACATGTGACAGCAGTGACATTACATGTGACAGTAGTGACATTACATGTGACAGCAGTGACATTACATGTGGCAGTAGTGACATTACATGTGACAGCAGTGACATTACATGTGACAGTAGTGACATTACATGTGACAGTAGTGACATTACATGTGACAGTAGTGACATTACATGTGACAGTAGTGACATTACATGTGACAGTAGTGACATTACATGTGACAGTAGTGACATTACATGTGACAGTAGTGACATTACATGTGGCAGTAGTGACATTACACGTGACAGTAGTGACATTACATGTGACAGTAGTGACATTACATGTGACAGTAGTGACAAGCACAGCAGTATAGTGGCAATTTAATATGACAAACAAAAGTATATACGTAGGTCATTTAAACTGAATAAACTATATAATTTTACCACAAAAAACTCTCTCACTTGTTAATTTGACGATGTTACACACCAAAGTAATTTCCAATTAAGTTTCCCTACTGTTACAAGTATCTAAAATGTCCTTTAGTGTTGGCCCCGAGATTGTGATTCTGATGATTTTTAAAGCAATTTCGTAAAACTTAATTGAAACAAACGAAAATATTTTGATTGGGTGTGTAAGCAAAGCAGAATCTGTATTCAGATGTATGTCTGTCACAACTGTTCCTATCCTTGGTCAATACTGTCTTGTCCCTCCTGTTACAGATACTTACGACCGCCTCCGTGGTGTAGTGGTTAAAGCGTCCGCCCGGAGAGCGGAAGGTCGCGGGTTCGAACCCTGACCGCGTCATACCAAAAGACGTTAAAATATGGTACTTGTTGGTTCCTGCCTGGCACTCGGCATTAATGGCTACAACAAGAACTGGTCGGCTCGGAGTCAGTATAATGTGTCTGAGTGGGGTATTCATGCTTCACTGCGGCATGGTATCTCATGGGCTAGCACTATAAAACCAGCTTCAGTCTGGGCTAGTACAAACAGCCGCACATACCCATACACACGCATGCACGGCGTCATATGATCGAAATATTCTCAAGCACGACGTTAAACCCAATTTCACCTCACCTCACAGATACTTACCGTATACTGCCTGTGGTAAGGTCATGCATGTTTCAGACCTTTCAAGCCAAATCTTTGTATTAATTATTGTTCAGTATTCTGAATTATACCTTTAATTAATAAAAATCACACACATGTACACGGAAGTTATATGACAGAGGTTCCCCGTCAAGCCCAGCAACAATATTGGCATTTAAAACCCCGTGAGATATGAAAAATTACATGCAATATGTGTTGCACCAAAAAAGCAAGGTTTTGCAGTAGTTTAAGCAGCCCGCATTGGAGCACTACATGTATATAGTTCTGATAACCCTAATGACATGTAACTTTATGACAAGCATAAACATAGAAATAAATAAAATGTATTTCATTCAAAAATATTTAAATAA